GTAAGTCAATGGGAACAGGTCCAGCAAGCTAGCTCAGTGGCTAAATCCTCCCCTTTCAGCGCCAGGATCCCATACGTGTGCCAGTTCATGTTACGGCTGCTCCACTTCCCATCCAGCTCCCTGCGTGTGGCCTGGGAAAGCAGTGGAAGATGGCCCAGGTCCTTGGGACCCTATACCCTTGTGGGAAACAGAAAAAGCTCCTAGCTCACGGCTTTGGGTCAGCTTAACTCTAGCTGTTGCAGCTATTGGGAAAGCAAACCAGTGGAAGAAGATCTTTCTCTCTGTACCTCTTCTTTATATATATATATATATAGATAGATAGATAGATAGATAGATAGATAGATAGATAGATAGATATAGATAGACAGACAGATAGATAGGTATCTGTCTTTCCAATAAAAATAAATCTTTCTTTAAAACTTAAGACAATAAGGCCTGGGGCAGTGGCCTAGTAGTTAAATTCCCCACCTTGCACGCGCCAGGATCCCATATGGGTGCCAGTTCTAGTCCCAGCAATCCTACTTCCAATCCAGCTCCCTGCTTCTGACCTGGAAAAACAGTTGAGGACAGCCCAAAGTTTTAGGATCCTGCACCCAAGTAAGAGACCTGGAAGAAGCTGTTGACTCCTGGCTTCAGATTGGCTCACTTTCAGCCATTGCGGTGACTTGGGGAATTAATCAGTAGATGGAAGATATTCTTCTCTGCATATCTCACTTTCCAATAAAAATAAATAAAATCTTCAAAAAATTTTAAAAATAGAAGATAATTCAGACAGCAGGTACGTGATATGGAAGATGCTCAGTGGACATTCCCAAGCAGGACATAACACCCTGGTGAAGCCATGTGAATTTTTCTGTCTCATAGTGTCCCAGTTCCCTTCTGTTTTATAACAAAACATTCTGAAACTTGGTGGCTTAACACAATTGCAACATTTATTCTGCTGGGCCTGCCAACTGCAGTTTGTAAAAAAGCAACTTGTCTCTGCTCCACTGAAAGTTGGACACATTAAAGGCCCATCTGGGGAGGATGCCTGATACAGCAGTGAAGACATTCACAACCCACATTAGTGCCTGGTTCAAGTACCAACCACTTCCAATCCAGCTTCCTGCTAGTACGTACCGTGGGCGGCAGGAAGTGAGGGTCCAAGTACACAGGTCCCTGGCATCCACACAGGAGACCTGGATTCTGTCTCTGACTCTTGGCTTCCTCTTGGCTCAGCCCTGGCTATCGTGGGCATTTGAGGACTGAACCAATGGATAAAAGATCGGTTGGTTGGTCTCTCTCTATCTTTCAGGAACATAAAAACTCAGTAGAATTCTTTTAAATGGCAATAAAACTTATTTTTCTAAGGAGAGCTCATGCACTTGCCTGCTGAATAGCTCATACTGGTGTTAAGCTTTGAGTTCAGCTAGGGTTCTGGCTCAGTTTCCCAGCAGCTTGCAGGGATCCTCAGAGAACCAGGCAGCACTATGACCCAGTATCACAAGGCACAAAACATCATTTCTACCATTTTTATTCACTAAAACAAAGTCCCTAGGTCCAGTCCATAACCAAGAAACTATAACAGAAATGTCAAAGGCCCAACAGATTAAGTGAAGGCAATAGAGATGATCATTGTTCTCCCTTTTTTTTAAAAAAAAAAAAGTGTATTTATTTGAAAGGTAGAATGACAGAACAAAAGGGAAGAAACAAAGGAATTTTCCGTCTGCTGGTTTTCTCCTCAAATGGCTGCAATCGCCAGGAATGGGCCCAACTGAAGGCAGTGACAGGAACTCCATCTGGGTCTTCCATGTCTGTGCAGAGGTCCACGTGCTTGAGACATCATCTGCTGCCTTGCCAGGTGCATTAGCAGGGAGCTGGATGGGAAGTGAAGTAGCTTGGACTTGAACTTGCACTTATATGGGATGCTGGCCCTGCTGAAGTTGGAGGATTAACTCTCCACAGCCCCAGGCATGACCATTGTTCTCCAGTCCCAAGTACCATCAGGGTTGCTAGCTTTGTTAGAGACAGGCCACAGAGGTTCACTGAGTAAGAGTAGGCAATGTCTGTAAGTCCACTTAACATTCCTCACAGTTGTTCTGTCTAAAAATATGAGTCATCATAGCTTTATTTAGAAAAATAAATAGATTCCCTTGTTTCCCAAATGAAGGGAAGTTGAAATTCAAATTCCACATGAGACTAAATTTGGACAACTGAATATTCCCATAAAATCATGCCTAGTGTTGCATCTAAAAAGAAACCAAGGGCCAATGACGCCCTCCAAAATGTCCCTGCTTCCCCGTGTCTGGATGTGTTTTTGTTCTCATGCAGCGGATCCTGCCACGGCATATGGCAGAGGCTGCTCCAAGTCGTACTTTCTGTTCCTGATGGATGCTGCTGGATCACATTCTCCAGCCTCCCTCACAGTTAGATTGAGATCACACAGCTGAGCCAATCCTTTCTCTTTCCCATCCTCTCCCGGGATGAGCTCCCTGGACCTAGATAGCGACAAGAGACTGGGTGCCTGAGCCACCACAGGAGGAGTCAACTGACAAGGAACTTGAGTTCAGGGCAGAAAACAGATTTGTGCTGCCCTAAGCCAACTTTTCTCTCTCTCTCTCTCTCTCTCTCTCTCTCTCTCTCTCTCTCTCTCTCTCTCTCATTTATTTGAAACAGTTATGGATAGAGAGGGAGAGACAGAGAGATCGTCCATCCACAGGTTTACTCCAGGCACATCAGCAGGGAGCTGATCGGGAGGGCAGGTCTGGCAACAGCTTCACCCACTGCAACACAACACTGGTCCCAGCCCTAAGCCTTCTTGGAGGCTGTTTGCTGCAGCTGTTCTCCTACCCTGACTGTGAAGTTCAAGTTTCATGCAGGGAATGTTCACTCCACTATCCTTATCTCCCCCATGGGTGCAAAAAATTTCCTCATTCCATTGACACTGGAATTTGTTATCAGATATGACACATGACATATTTCATACTTCATATTTCTGCACTCTCCTACACTAGAGCCCACACGCTGTCCTGCCAAAACAAGCCCCAGCTAGGCCCAGGCCACAGGGCAAGACATCAGTTGGGACCCCGTCAGATGTTTAGACCCAACCCCAGCCAAGTGCAGCCTAGCCCAGCCCAATACCTTGTGAGCTGCAGTTAAACGACTGAGACTACATCACCATTTTAAGCCCTTGAGTCTGGAGGTGTGTGTTGCACAGTATATTATTTCAATAATTGACTCATACGCAAGTAAAATGGGAAGGTTGAGCCTGGCTCAGTGGTGTAGCAAACTAATCCTCTACCTGTGGCACTTGTATCCCATAGGGGCTTGTGTCCCAGCTGATCCACTTCCAATCCAGCTCCCTGGCACAGGTAAGCTCAAGTCTTTGGGCTCCTGTGCTTACATGGGAGTCCTAGAAGAAACTCCAGGTCCTGGCTTTGGATCAGCTCAGCTTTAGCCATTGTGGACATTTGGGGAGTGAACCAGTGGATGGAAAACCTCTTTCTCTGTCTCTCCCTTTTTCGCTATACAATCTACCTTTCAGATAAAAATAAATATATATATATTTTAAATATGAGGGTGTCCCAGCATGATGCTATAGTGGCTAAATCTCCCTTTGCACTCCCAGAATCCCATGTGGATGCAGGTTCATGTCCCACCTGCTCCACTTCCTGTCCAGCTCCCTGCCTGTGGCCTGGGAAAACAGTCTAGGATGGCCCAAAGCCTTGGAAACTGGCATGCATGTGGGAGACCCAGAAGAAGCTCCTGACTTCAGATCAGCTCAGCCTTGGCCGTTTTAACCAATCGGGGAGTGACCCAGTGGACAGAAGATCTCTATCTCTCCTCCTCTCTATAAATCTGCCTTTCCAATTAAAAAAAAAAAAAAAGAAAAACCACTTTTTTTTTTAAGTGAGGGTGGCACTCCAATGAAGCTGCCATATTAAAGATACATTTGATACATGTTTCTTTTCTCATTAAGTTTATGCCAAATCCAACTAACAGCTGAAAAAACAGGTGGAAAACCCCAGGGTACACCAGGGGATTCGTCCCTTTCCCTCTGCTTCAGACACACTGCGGGAAGCAGAGAAAAACAGGAAGGCACTGCACAGAACTCAGGATGCTTCCTGCAAACCCCACCGTTAACAGAGCTGGATTCCTTGACGCTGGGGAAAAAGGAAAACTTGAGACTGAATGGAAGGACGACCAGCTTCATCCCCAGAAATTAACTATCAAAAGCTGTTGCACAAGCAGGAAATAACCTAAATCATTGCACTGCATCACTCCCATAATGGGTTAAGAAGAAAACAAGGCCCGTTGGCAGACTCGGGGGTGCCTATCGCCTCCAAGGTTAAGCCAGCCCCCTCCCATCCGCTGTTCCCAGGAACACAGCTAGATAAGGAGCAAGGCCGGCTCCCTGCTGCACTCCCGCTCCACCTCCGCCCGCCAGACAATGCTGGGACTGCGTGTGGGCTGCAGCACCGCTGCAGGAGCCGCCCAGCTCCGGGAAACGTGGCCCACCGCCTCCCCAGGGACCAGAAAGCACCCGGGACCTGCCTGGCTCTCAGTCCCCTCTCACAGCTCCGCCGTCCTCAGCTAGGATTCTGCACAGCTGAGAACCCCCACCCCTCAAAGATGAAAAGGGGACAGGGAAGGGGAACTCTGGAGGGGACCCAGGCAAAGCATGTGGCGGCAACATGGGTGGAGTGTGTCTAGCGAACAAGGAGTGCAACAGAGCGGTGGTGCACACCCACCCTCACACTCAGCACACATAGCAACAACCCTCCTCCACCAGCCACCACCCCCCAAGCCTGGTCTGGGGGGGGGATGCGCAGCAGACTCCCGCCCCAGGGCGAATGCAGCCCCCCAAGCAAGCTCCCCACGGGCCCCCGTGGCCACCCTGGCGGCGCCCTCGGCGGGCTGGGGGCGCAGGGCGCGGCCGGGAGCGCGGGCACCCGCGCGTCCCCGCCCCTGGGCTGCCAGGCCCGCCCCCGCTGCGGCGGCCGAGGGGAGGGACCCGCGCGCGGTGTATATAAGGCGAGGGGCTGGCGCCGCTCTTTTGTCTCTTGCTGCAGCGACTGAGCGGATCGCCAGGACCCGGGCTCGGAGCAGGAACTCGAACTCGAGGTGAGCACGACGCTGGGGAGGGGGCCTGCAGGGTGCGGTCGGAGCTGGAGGGGGCCTGCAGGGTGCGGCCGGAGCTGGGGGCGCAGGGCCGGCTCGCCCCTGGCACGCTTCCCGAGCCGGACGGGAGAGGCTCGGAGCGGCCACGCCCTGGGGCTTCCGAGCGGGGTCCCGCCCGGGTCCTCTCCGCTTGTGTGGGGGGCGGGGGGCGGCTGCCGGCAACGCCCCGGCCGGAGTGCCACGTCGAGAAGGGCGTCGGCGGGACGGTCAGCGCAGAGGGAGACCCTGGCTCGCTCCCCCCCAAAACCCCGCTAGCTCCGCGCCAACCGCTCTGGTTTGTTCGGCAGGGTGTAAGAAAATGGCAGACAAACCGGACATGGGAGAGATCGCCAGCTTCGATAAGGCCAAGCTGAAGAAGACCGAGACGCAGGAGAAGAACACCCTGCCGACCAAAGAGAGTGAGTGCCCCCCAGGACCGCGGGGGACCCCTCCAGCCTACCCCCACCCTGCCCTGCTTGTGCCAGTCCAGCCCCTCGCCCACCCCACCCTCAACGCGGCCAGTGCCCCGGGTCTGGGCGGCCTCCCGGGCACCCTTGCAGGGACACAAAGCACCCTGGCTATCCCCAGTCCCACGCCTCATTCCTCCATCCCCCACCCCAGACTTCGTGGGGGCCTCGCCCACCGCAGGTTTGCGCCTGGCTTGGGGAGTGGGGTTGCCTAGTGGCCTCACCTTCCCGCTACTTGCTTCCCACTCCCGCACAGCCATCGAGCAGGAGAAACGGAGCGAGATTTCCTAAGAGTCTGGGAGGATTCCCCCTACCCACCCTCCCCCATCGACTTCGAAGACCCCAAGGCGTGATGTGGAAGACGAGGCACCTGCAAAATGGACGCGAGCCACAAGCTGCACTGTGAACCCGGGCACTCCGTGCCGCCGCCACCGGCCTGTGGGTCTCTTAACGAGACCCCCCCAACTAATCGGACTGCCAAATTCCTCTGGTTTGCCCTGGGATATTATAGAAAATTATTTGTATGATGAGTAAAAATAAAACACACCTCGTGGCATGGCTGGCGTGGTCTCAGTCTCTGGGTTGAGTGTGCGTGGGCGGTGCCGCTGCAGCAGAAGCGGGGGAGGGGGATCGCGGAAGCCGCTGGCTCGCAGGCGCCTTTTTTGGGGTTTTTTGTTTGTTTGTTTTTTGGGGTTTTTTTCTCTTCCTCAACTGCTTTTCCGTAAATTTTCGGGGATTTTCGGCTGTTGGGCTCTGGCCCAGAAAGCTCTTGGTGTACAATGTAGCCCCACTTTGAGGCTAGCTGCTCCGGAAAATGTTTTTGTAATTTTTTTTTTCTTCCGAAGAACAAGATGTGAACTCACTGTGGTTTCCCCAACCCCCGCCCGCCACCGTCTCTAGCTTGAATTCACACCAGAACCAAACAGTGATAGGAAGCCTGGGGGCGGGGGTCCTCAATCTGGAATGTTGGAAATTGGGCGAGGTTGGGAAGTCTCCCAAAGGCTTCCGTCTGAAGCTCCAGAGCGAGGGAGGGTGGAGATCAGAACACAAAAAACAAAGGCGGGAGCTAGGGAGACGGCAACTGGGACTTGCGAATGGACTGGGGGGTGGAGGGAGCAAGCCTAGCTTTTTGTCCTTTTAGCCCTAAGCTGAGAAGGTCCCACAAAAGCGTTAGCCATTAGAGGCAGTGCTAGGGGGCGCGGGCTGTGACTGGCAGCCCTGCGGGTCGCACCCTCTGCACCCACGGGGAAGGGTGGGGCCTGTTGCAAGGGGAGCCAGAGGGAAAGGCTGCGATTCTAGGGGTGGAGTTCTCCGCCGAGAAGGAGGAGGACATATTGCCTAGGGATGTGTGCCTGCCTGCGTTCTGCCTCGGCCCCCGAGGGGCTAGCTGGGCCCCTCCCGAGGGCAGTGGATTCGAATGAGGCACCGTCCCTAACCTCTCTCGAATGAGGCACCGTCCTTGCTCTCTGTCAAGTGAGGTGCCGTCCCTGCCCTTTCTCGGAATTAAAAACTAGCGAAACCGGCAGCCGCTGCACACCGGAAGAGGGGGGAGGGGTGCGAGAGAGGTGCTACCTGTTTTGCCTAAAGGAGTGATTTGACAGGCCTGTGCCAAAGAGCCCTCCAGTCTGCACCTCCCCACCCACCGGTGCCTGGCCGCTTGCACCTTGGTACCCGGCATGGGGACCCAGTCTCCAGTCTGGTTGCTTGCTGCCGGTGACTCACACTGGTCGGCATGCAAGAAAGGCTCTTGAGTTGTGACTGACATCCGCCCTCCCCTCATCTGTGGTCCCAGGGCTAACCCCAGGCTGCTGGCAGGTGCCTTGTTCCCTGGCTAGCTGTTCACTGCTGGACACTGACAGGGCCTGAGCGCTGTGAACTGGGGGAAATGGCCCCTGTTTAGGGAAGTCAGACATCTTGGTTTCCCTCCCTGAGCCCAGTACAGGATGTAATCTCACTACAATGAGGGGAAGGAAGTACAGTTTATTCACAATGGAGGTTATTGATGGAACTTCACCGCTCAACCAGCTGAACGGTTTTATTAGGTTGTTGATTTCTGAATTCCAAAGGTTATGTTCTTCCTCAGTTGAATTCAATGTGTATTTTTTGAGCACCCATTGAATGCCTATCACTGTACCAGGCCTGGGAGAGGCCGAAAAGGATTGTTGCCAACTAGCTACATACAAGGCAGGATTAAGTAAATGCTAAAGGGAGACTAAGGTAAACAAAGGAGCGGTTGACTGGAGCCTGCACCTTGGAGAAGGGAGCACCTGAATGCAGACCCAGGGAAACGAGAACGGAAAACCAGGGTTTCTCAAGAGAAGGAGTGACACAAAGTGTGATACCACAGCAGGGGCAGAAAAAAAAAAAGAGGCAGTAGTTCAGTGCAAACAGAAGCAGCCTCAGAACTGGCCTAGGAGGATTCAACGGCCTTATCCTGCAGTCAGCAGGGAGCTAATGCAGGTGTGGAGGCTCAGGCGAAGTGCTCTGAGAGGTGTGGGAGAACACATGAGGGATGCCGTGGCAGACACAGGAAGCTGTCTCCACAACTACTGCCATGATCCACACCACTCCCATCCTAATCCCCACCACTGCCACCACCATGCTCGCAACGATCACCATCACCACCACTACCGCTGCCATCACCAGCGTCTTCACTCTTAGCATCACCAACACCACTGTGTCCACTCTCAGCTTCATCACTACTCACCATCATCAAGCCCACCATCCCACCACCAGTTACACCATCATCGCCAGGAGGACTCCCTAGTGTAGTGATTATCACTTTGGTCTAACATCATCTGCAACAACCCATTTTCTCCTATCTTCCTCCCCTGCCTCTGAGTGGCCAATAGAAGACCAGTTTTCCTCAGATCAATGGCACTAGCCCATTGATCTATGAATTGTTTCACACAGCACAGTTGTGTCCATGTTCAAAACTGTTGTATCACAGTATATGTTCATATAGTGAAATATTCATAAGGCACTCTGCCTGCATCAAGCTAGAACATCACTGAGCCATGTGGTAGCAGTCAACATGTCCTAGGATATACCGCAGTAACAACATCAAGCACCCCAAGAATCCTAATGACTTACAACAAACCTGCATTTCTGGTTCGTATTATGTACCAGTCACTACTCTGCTGCTGTCCTTCTCACTGTGAGACCTAGACTAAAGGAAAAATGCTGTCGTTATGGCAAAGGGAAAAGAAAAGGGGTTGGCATGGTAGCATAGTGAGTGAAACCACCGCGTGTAGAACTGGCATCCAGCTCCTTTCCTATGGCCTGAGAAAGCACCTAAGGATGCCTCAAGTATTTCGGCCCCTGCACCCATAGAGGAGACCCAAAGGAAGCTCCTGGTTTCAGACCAGCCTGGTTCTGGCATTGAAGCCATTCGGGGAGTGAATCAGCAGATGGAAGATCTCTCAGTCTGTCTTCTGTTTGCTATAACTCTACCTTTCAAATAAAAACACAATGGAGTAAAAGAAAAGAGTCATATGGTAGCTTAGAAGTGGCACTTCTTTTTTCTTTCCTTTTTTTTGATTGTTGACACCATGAGTGAAAACAATTAAGGAAAAGAAAGGCAGATTTAGAGAGTATGAGGAGAGATATCTTCCACCCACTGTTTACTCTCCAGATGGCTGCCACAGCCGGTGCTGGGCCAGTCCAAAGACAGGAGCCATGAGCTTCTTCTGGGTTTTCCACATGAGTGCAGGGGAACAAACTCTTGGGCCACAATCTTCCGAAAGTGCTTTACCTTTAAACTTTGTGAAATAATACCTTTTTTGTTTTTGTGTTTGATGTTCTTTTTGTAGTTGACAAAGATGCATGCCCATGAGGACCACTGACTAGGGTGGGAAGGCATGGGGAAAGGGGAATGGGACATAGGCTTCCAATTTTCCTTTTCTTTCTTCTTTTCTTGTATCTGGGGAGGGTAGGAGAGCTGCTTCCATCTGCCAAACTACATCAGTATCTGAGGATGGAGGATGTCCACTTGATATCATCTTAGAAACTTTGATGTGGAGAAGAATGTTCTGAGTATATTGCTGGGCTGGTTTTTGAGACTTCTGAGCCACTGTTGGTGTCATTGGTCCAATGTCCTTCCAAGCTCTGTTGGCTAACAGAGTCCACCCCAGTGCAACCACTCACCCAGACACTTGCTGCCAATGCTCAGCCAGAAGAGTTGTCCAACCCAGTCTGTTCTCCATCTTCTGACATGGCACTTGTCATCCTCTACAGGCCCTAGTGAGGTGACCATCTTGTCCTTCATATGCAGCTGAGCATGCTGTCCACTGCACAGGCATCAGCATTTGAGATGGCCCAGTCCCAACACGTGCATTTTAAGGTCAGACCACAAATTCTATGGTCTTCCCTGTGGGGCAGAATTTTGAGTTCGGTGGGCTAGTTTGGGAGTCCCCCAAAAACTTCACCCGGGATGTCCCCAGATCTGGTGCTTGCAGTATAGGTCCACTTCAGTCCATCACCCATATCAGACTATGCTTACACTGGTGATTATAGTTGCCTGGTCAGTTCAGTCTTCAGCTCCATGTCCTATGCAAACCTACTGCTGCTGCAGCCCAGCCTGCCACATACCTGGCCCTTGTGCACACCAGTGAGAAAAGCAGCCTAGTTGGGGCAACCAAAAATAACCCCCACCAGGCCTGCCCCCAGACCTGGTTCCTGAATGTGTCAGTATGTATAGCACACTAGTCTAGCCTGTGCTGCATCCCAGTTGGGCTCTTGTATATACCTGTGGGTGTTGCAGCTTAGCTCAGTCCACCCCACAATCCTGTCCACACATATACTAACGGGTGCCACCACCTTGTTTAGCCTGGCCTGCCTCAGCCCTGGTTCTCATGCCTACCAGTGGGAGCTGCAGCCCAGCAGAGGAATGCCCACAGTTTCCCCACTAGGCCCACTCCCAGTCCCAGATCTTATACTTTCCAGGGTTTACTGCGGTGTAGCCTGACATGACTTGCACCCTGTCCTGGCACTTGCCAGTGGATGCTATGGCAAAGCCCGTTTAGTCAGCATTTATCTTGGCTCTTGCATGTGCCAGAGGATGCAGTGGCCTGTCCTAGCCTGGCCCTCTCCCAAACCCAGTTCATATGCAGGCTAATGGTTGTAGCCCTGCTCCCCTGGCTCACCCCTGTCCCAATTCTCTCCCTCACCAATGGGAGCAATGGCCCAGCAGGAGAGCTGCCAAAGTCCCTTCAACAAACCCACTCCTAATCTAGGGTCTTACATGTGCTGTAGGTGCTGTAGCCCAGTCTGTCATGGCCCATCTTGCCTTCACATTCACTGATGGATGCTGCAGCCTGGCTGTGCCCAGCCTGCCCCCAGTCTCAGCTCATATTAGGGAGGAGGGGGGATGGTGCTACAACCTAGCCCAACCTGTCTCACACTCTCTCTGGCTCTTGTGAGCATCAGCAGGTGCTGGAGACTAGCTCAGTCTGGCACAATCCCACACCCAGCCCACACACACTGAGGGATTTGCAGCCATGTTCATGTCCACATCCATTCCCAGCTCTCACCCTCACTAGTGGGAACTACAACTCA